CTAAGGTGCCACAAGTAATCCTGTTCTTTTTCCGAAAGATGCGACCTAACAATAAAATGTATCAGGTTGTGGTCCTCTTTCTGACTAATTTATCATCTATTGTATTTGTAAGGGACATCTCACTGTAATATCTAAGCAACCTCCTTTTCAGCGCCATTGAAATCTATTCAAAATAATTATTTTTTTAATCAACCACCATATCCTAAATGTAGCAATAATAGCCCAGCTTGCAAAGGTCAGCCGCTGAGTTATAATTCAGCCATATGCTACATTTTGTTTCCCCATCAAAATACTCCATGTTTCTGATACTCTTGTTCTTGCAGAGAAATTGGTGTGGTCAGGTGACTCTGTGACAGGCTGGTTTGCTGCATTGTGGCATATTAGGAGGAATCACATTCATTTGTGCATAGAACTACCTGAGTAAATATTCACTGAGGGTATGTCTACACTACCCGCCGTGGGTAGCGATCGATCTATCGGGGATCGATTTATCGTGTGTAGTGTAGACGTGATAAATTGATCCCCGATCGCTCTCCCGTCGACTGCTGAACTCCAGCTTGGCAAGAGGCGGAAGCAAAGTCGATGGGGGAGCTGCGGCACGCTGCGAGGACGCAAAGTAAGTAATTTTAATTCCATCTAAGATATGTCGACTTCAGCTATGCTATTCTCGTAGCTGAAGTTGCGTATCTTAGATCGATTTTCCCCCCCCCCCCACACCCCCAGTGTAGACTAGGCCTGAGAATGAGATCCTAATAACACAGTATTCTTCTCCAATGCAATCTTCTGGGCTCTGATATCTGCATGGTGCTGAGCACTTGCTGGCCCTGCAACTTCTCTTTGATTCCTGACACTTCTATGCTGAAGAAGTTGTCTTTGATAGATAGTCCATTGTGGCAGGATCTCTTGATGGTCCCTCATTATAAGGCATCCCTTAATTGCCTCTGTCCGGCACAAACCTAATGTTGCCTCGCTCCTGTAGCTATATATTATTGACATCAGAATGCAGAGACATAAAATTAAAGTTATAAAAATGTTCTTCTTCTCTCAGCTACATTAACTTTGTGCTTCATAGGTCAGAGGGGACCCCAGTCATCTAGTCTGACCTCCTATGTGTAACAGGCTATAGGAGTTCCCCAAAATAATTCCAGTTTGAATTAGACCATATCTTTTAGAAAAACATCCACTCTTAATTTATAATATCCTGTGATGGATAATCCTCCACAGCCCATGGTAAACTGTTCCAATGATTAACGACTCACTGTAAAAAACATACGCCTTATTTCCAGTTTGAATTTGTCTAGTTTCCACTTTCAACTATTGGCTCATGGCTTTGTCGGATTGAAGAACCCTTTATCCCATGAAAAGCGACAAAGAGTCCTGTGGCACCTTATAGACTAATAGATGTATTGGAGCATAAGTTTTCGTGGGTGAATACCCACTTCGTCAGACATGCGTCTGACAAAGTGGGTATTCACCCTCAAAAGCTTATGCTCCATTACATCTGTTAGTCTATAAGGCGCCGCAGGACTCTTTGTCGCTTTTTACAGATTCAGACTAACACGGCTACCCTTCTGATACTTTATCCCATGAAGTTACTTAAAGACATGATTAACCATAGAAGCCAGGAGAGACACCTGAGGACTATGAAAAAGCAAACATGGAATCTGTTGTTCAGCTAGTTCTTGAAGGAAAAAGGAAGAGCCACAAAGGAAGTGGCTGACTGGAGAAGAAGTGGGTTCTTGCAGCTGAAGAAGTGGGTTTTTACCCACGAAGGCTTATGCCCAAATAAATCTGTTAGTCTTTAAGGTGCCACTGGACTCCTTGTTGTTTTTGATTGGAGAAGAGAGATCATGGTTAAAACATGAGACTCAGAAGCAAATGTTTTAGATTCTTTTCCCAGTTCTAGTACAGACCTCAGGTGGTGACACCGGAAAAGTCATTTTATCCATCTGTACCTCAATCTCTCTCTCTGTAAAATAACCAAACCTTGTACTTCTCAGCCTTCTATCAGAGGACCTTAAAACACGTTACCAATGTTAACTAGCTAATCCTCCTCCTCAGAGACCTTCTTTAAGCTAGACAGGTATTACTTCCATTTTACAGATGAGGAAATTGAGGTACAGGGAAGTTACATGCTTGCCAAAGGTCACACAGGAATTCTGTGGCAGGAGCCAAATCTCCTGACTTCTAATACAGTGGTTTAACCGCAAGAGCATTCTTTCACCATACAAAGAGCAGGCAATTTTGCAGAAGAGTTAACACAGAGGAAGAAGGGAATCTGATTCTGTAACTTTAATTTATTTTCATTCTTCTCCATCGGCAAGCTTAGTCAGGGAATAATCTAAAGAGGACTTTCTGGGTGGAAATGGAAAAACCGTAAAGAGATTGTTTCAGGATGTAGCAATGAAGCCTTCGAAAATATATTTCTTGCTATGTGTGTCTGATCTCATACACGACAGGGGTGTCCCGTCAGTGACAACAAGTGACATTGGGATCTAAGTTCCCTCCAAGCTGCACGGCTGCCTATTAAGCCTCATGCAGCAGCTCAGGGCTCCCCGCCAGGCAAAGTACGGATCTGCAGCAGCGGGGAGAGGCGTCCCTCCCCGCCGGCCCCAGTGTGGACCTGCCCCGGACTTGCCACGGCCGGGGGAGAGGAGCCCCTCCCTTGGCCTAGCCCAGCCCCACCAGAGCTGCCGGGGAGAGGCACCTCTCCCCTGGCCCTGAGCTGCTGCGGCGAGAAAGGGCTGGGGAGAGTCCTCTCTCCCCACCGCAGCCCCAGGGCAGCCTGCACCCCAAACCCCTCATCCCTGGCCCCACCCGAGAGCCTGCACCCCCAGCCAGAGCCCTCATCCCTGCACACCCCAACCCTCTGCCCCAGCCCTGAGCCCCCTCCTGCATCCTGAACCCTTCGGCCCCACCCCCACCACATTAATTTTATGTGCACCAATATGGAGGTGATGTGTCACACATCACCTCCATATTGGTGCACATAAAATTCATTCTGCACATGGACGTAAAAAATTAGAGGGAACACTGATTGGGATTATATTCTTTGACCTTTTTTCCCCTTATGTTTCTTAAGTGTTTTATACATAAATTATTATTAATCAGAAATCATATATGGAATCTGTCTTGTATCTACATTAAACAAAAGTATTGAAATGACTGTGCAATGCCTAGTGTCCACTCACAACAGCTGACCCAGGCCTTTTACACAGGGCTGGCTCTAGGATTTTTGCTGCCCCAAGCAAAAAATTTGCCATCCCAAGCTCAGGTGAGGCTGGGGCTCACAGGCGGTGCTGGAAGCGGAGGGAGTGATGTCATCTTCTCCCAGTGCCTGCAGTGGCTTTACCCCCTCCCCCGCCCGGCAGCGCAGAGAAGTCCCGATATAAGGGGTGACACAAGGCAGCGCAGCAGCCAGTCCGCAGATGAGGTGGCGCAGCCCCGGCTCCCCGGCAGGACTCACCCTCTCCTCCCCAGGTAACGGCTGGGCCCTGGCAGCTCAGCATCCCGGGGCTGGGGCTTCTCCTTCCCACTGCGGCCGGAGGCACGGCGCCCTCACCCCGTCTAAGTGGCGCAGCTCCGAGAGCGCAACTGCCCCGAAAAAAAAAGGATGGCCGGAATGCCGCCCCTGGAAATGTGCCGCCCCAAGCACGTGCTTGCTTTGCTGGTGCCTAGAGCTGGTCCTGCTTTTACAAGCATTGGTTATCACATCTGAGAGCAGGTTTTTAGTTAGAAAACTGAATAGAAAATATTTACCACTTTACAGAGGTGTGAATGAGTGTTTGCAAAGGACCTTGAGATTGTAACAGGTTGGTTTGCCCCTAGGCTGGAGAGCCCAGGGCTAAACCAGCTGTGATTACAAGATGAGCCAAAGGAATCAGAGAGGAATCAGACAATTCAATATAAATGGCAGCAGGAAGGTGAGGAGGGTAGGGTAGTTGGTTGAGAGAAGTAGCGGAGACTGCCAGAAGCAGGAGGCCCTGAAGTAAGCTAGGGAAGCCCAGGAAACAGGATGCTGTGAGGAGCTGGAACTGATTAAAGACTTTGTGTTTGTTTTGGGACTTTTGAGTTCTGTTTTTGACAAACTCTGTTGGCTGCCTTGTAAAGAGCGAATTAAAGGATTTTGGACTGAGAAAGTGACTGGAAACTGAGACTGGAGTTCTTAAAGGGGCTCTCATGAGGGGGAAATTGAGGTAGGTTGCAGACACTGTAGTAGAGATCATCCAATAGAAGGTCAATAGCCTAGGATCTATTCCAGGTAAAGTACCTGAGTAGGTAATAAATCAGACTGATGAAGGAGTGATTGAGGCCTGCAAAGATTGGGTGACCCAAGTGCTCTCTTCTAGCTCCTATTTTTGTATCCTTTGTTTTGGGCCTTTGTCCCATATTTTGGCCGTGGCAAGCAAGGAGGTATGTCATAGCTGGAATATTGATGGGAGGGGGGTGTCTATTTTTCCTGCAACCCCTCATGGCAACTACAGCATGTAACACAAGGACTCTGAAGCATCACCAGGAAGCCAGTTACCTGCCTTGGTGGACCAGGAGTCTGATGGGGCCTAGCAAATCCTAAATTCTCAGGAGCTGGTACCTGTGTTGCTTCTGTGTTTAGCAGCTACAGATGATGCAAAGTCGTTGCATGTAAATTTACCAGGTAAATTATTAAAAATTGGAAGAACTGCAGCAGGGAACGTGACCTGAATTAACCCTTAGCAAGCCAGAAGGAGTACTCTGGACAGCCGATCCTGCTCTATAGGAGCTGCTGTAGGTGCTGTAGGCCAGGGGGTGGGAGCAGGAGAGCTGAGGCCTGCAGCCAGATGATTTTCCATGCTAAAGTCAGTGCGGGTATCTCCCCTCCATCATCACCTCCCTGTATCGCTGCTGGCTCAGGACAGCAGCGAAGGAGTTAAGGGCTGGTGCTGGAGAAGGCCGGCTGTCAGGAGGGAGCATGTGCAGTTTGCAACCGCATCCATGCTACGGGTTAGTGTCACTGGAACATTTAATCTCCAGCCGCCGCCGCCGCCTCGAGCCATCCATGGAGGCGAGGAAGACAATGCACGGCTGAGCGGAGGAGGAGGGAGAGGCAGGAGCGAGGCAGAGCGTGGCCGCAGCAGCTGCTCTGGAGCGCGCTCTCCCCATCTCCGCCAGGGTAGGTGCAGGGGGAGCCCGTCCAGGCCTCCCGCAACGGAGCTGGCGGATGCTGAGCTGGGCTGGGGGATGCCGGGGCCGGCGTGGGAGCCGGAGGGAGGGCTCTGGAGCCCGACCGCTGTTGCTTTCGCTTCGCGCTGCGCTGGCTCTGGCTCCGCTTCCTCCCGCAGGAGAGGAGTTGGAAGGGGGGGGTGAGGGAGCAACTCACACCCGGAACAAAGCGGGCTCCAGGGGTGGGGGGGTTGCCCAGGGCAGCGGAAGGCAAACACAGCGGGAGCGGGCTGGCCCCGTGTTGTGCGCCGGAGCAGGGCGTGCTGGAGCCTGCTGTCGGAGCAGATGTTGGCAGCGCCGGGGGCTGGGCGCCAGCGCCGCTGGAGCGGAGTTGCGGGGGGTGGCTAGAAGGAGCCGGGGCCGGCCATATGCTGGGCACTGGAGCCACACGGACGATTCCGGGTCAGGATCTGTCGCCCTCTCCCGGGAATAGGCAAGGCATCCGCGTGGGGCATCTGGCAGGCGCTGAGACCCGGCTCCCCAGCAAAGGGAAGGAACCTCGCCTTCCCCGGCAGGCTCTGTCGCTTGCCCGCCCTGGCTGATCGGACAGCGGGACACAGGCAGGAGAGATCCCGGGCACCTGCAGCGTCCGCCATAGGTGCTGGAACTAGGGGGGCTGGAGGGACTGCCGCACCGCACCCGCTGGCTTGAAGTGGGTATCATCATACAGGGTTTACATTTGGTTCAATGGCTCTCAGCACAGCACCCCCAGTATACAAATTGTTCCAGCCCCCCTGGTTCTGCTCTTCCCCTGCGCCTTCCACGCTGTGCCCTTCTTCCCCTCCTCCGCCCCCAGCAGGGGCCCTTCCCCTCCTTCCTTTGTCCCCTGTGGCTGTGAAGAGCCGGGGCTGGCACGCACTGGGTCAGGTCGAGGGTAGGAAAGTTTCTTTGTGTGTGTTTCGCGTTCAGCCAGAGCTGATTGTGATGAGGGGCAGGGAACCCTGTGCGATGTACTGGGGGATCCCTGGTAGAGCTCGCTGCACAATGTACATTAACATGGTCTCTTCGGCAAGAAAACGGGTCAGCTTTGACACTCAGTATTTTCTGTAGATATTGAGAAGTTTTTGTTTTGGGAAACAAATGAAATGGTGTCCATGTGCCCTGCTTTTTCTGAACAACACGGCTCAATTTTTCTCTGCCCAATGCCATTCATTGTTTTGATATGAAACTAATTTTTCAAAAGTTTTTCATAAGGCTGAATTGGGAATGAAATGTTTTGATTTTATTGAAATGAAACACTTCAGTTGACCCAAAATGGAAGAAATCTTCAGAATTTTGTTTTTGCAGAAAACTTCTTCACTTTTTAGTTTTTGTTCCTTTTTCGGAATGGGAAAAACATGTTGAAATTCTTGAGGTTCCCACTAAACAGAAAATCTGGCTTCTACCCATCCCTAGTCCTTGGTACTGGGATTTCTTAAGATACCTTTAGACATTTGTGACGGCTGGGATATTAGGAGGTGGGTTCCCAGCCCCGTCCGAGCTAGCGTGTCACACCCAGGCTTCCTTGTCTGGTTTTGGCATCCTCTTGCACTGGATCTGCAAACTTGTGTCACATAGGAGCTAAGGTTCAGAAGCTGGACCTGCTCTCCCTCCCACCAGAGGCAAGGAAGCTTTCCCAGCTTCAGTTTGTTGCATTGCTTAATCACAGGAGAATCCTCTTATTTCCCTCTTGCCTGCTGGAAAAGATGGTCCCTCCAGGAGCTGAAATTATTCATAGGCAGGATGGTGAATTTGATTACCTGAACTGTATTTATCAAGTGTCTGTAAAAGAAATAAAGCACTCAGAGTGCAACATCCTTTCATTTTCATGTATACAAATACCTTAATACTTATACTGCATTGGTCAGAGACTTGATAGCAATAGATGATTCTAAGATAATAAATCCCAAAGGAGAATTTAAAAAAAAATTATGAGTGAGCAGAAAAACAGCACTTGTTACAATGAGACCTCTACTGGCGGCAGCCACTGCAGGCTACAAGTCAGGCAAGCCATTCACTATGTATCTAATGTTAAATACATGCTTATGTCCTATTTACATCAATGGAATTTAAACCTGAGCTTACGTACTTCCCTGAAGTGGGGTCATAATAAGCTGGTCCAAGATACTCCACACATAGATGACAGTAGTGAACATGTTCCTAATTACAATGACACAGTTCATTGCTGCTGGGAAAATGTATTACACTTCAAAGTGGAGGGGTATGGTGGGGAATCTCCTCCCTGAGCTGTGTTGTACATAAAGATGGCCTATTCTGCACTGCTTATGCAGAGGACCCTTCCATTTGAGAGACACTATTACTGTTTTGTAAAAGGGGAAACGGAGGCACTGTCAGTAGTAGATCTTTGACTACAACCCAGGAATTGACTCCCATCCCTTGGTTTAACCATTAGTTAACACTGCCTCTCAACAAAGGATAACGGGGCAGTGAGGCTCACTTATTATTTTTTGTTATTATTGTAGGGCCTACCTAGGAGCTCTAGTCATGTGCCAGGACCCTGTTGTGCTACATGCTGTACAGACACAGAATGCTTTGAGATCCTCCTGATAAAATGCACAAAGAAGTACAAAGTATTAGCTTATCTCCCCCCTACCCAGGATAAGTGGCATACAGGCACTGGAAAGAATATTTACTTTCTCCTTATTGGTGTTGTCACAGCATGACCATAAGGGAAGTCAGTATTATTGTGTCTATTCTACAGATGGGTGAAAACTCAGGCAAACAGAAAGTAAGTGACTTGCTCAAGGTCACGCGGTGAATCAATGGCAGAGCAAAGAATAGACTAGGAATCCTGCCTCTTATATCTATGCTGCAATCAGGCATTGTGATGGTAGCACCTGTATATGTGTCCGAGCTAGCTCAAGTGACAATGGCAATGAAGCCACCGAAACATGGGCAACTTCGTGGGCTACCCCTGCCTGCCCAGGATCCTACATTTCTACTTGAGTGGCTGCTGACTATGCTGCTGCCCTAGTTCCTTGTGCTAGCTTTGATCTAGCTTAGGTCTAGCTCAGGTATGTCTACACATGCTGCAGTCACATCTCCCAATTGCAGTGCAGACACCCCTCCAGTGGCTTGCCCTGGTCATAGTGCTATATATAATATAAACGCCAGAACTGACACAACTAAGGCCCAGTTATGACAAACAAGCAAAACACCCTAATCAAACAAAAAAACAAATACATACAGAATAAATGGTTGACCTATTTGATTAATAATGACTTATCATAGCAGCAGTTCTGCCAGTAAGGGTCAAATATTGGCATTCTCACAGTACTGCAGATTATTGTAAAAAAAAACTCATGGAGGGTCACACAAATGATCCAGGGGCTGGAAAACAAGCCTACAATGTGAGGCTTAAGGAGCTCAGCGCATTGAAGGAAAGGATGAGAGGTGACTTGATCACTGTGTATAGATGCTTACATGCAGAATGAGAGAGCTGATCATCAGGGATCCTAGTTTTCTGTGATTAAAAAAAAAATTATCTGATTTCAAAAATAAAAACTTGCATTTTTCCATGATTAAAATGAGACGCTGAATTTTAGTTTCCCTAGCCACAATATATACAGGTATCAATAAAACATTGTGTTCAACTCGTATACAAAGAAACCTCATTTATCCGATGTAATTAGGATTGGGGCCAGACTAGATAATCAAAAATTCAAATAATCCAGAGAGCTTCAGCCCCGGGTGGCGAGGCTCGGGCTGTCAGCCCTGGTTCAGTTAGTAGGGAGAGCTGGATAATGGAGGTGCAGATAAACTGGGTTCTTATTCTTTTTATTTTTTCACAACATGTAAAAACTAAAGATTCTGTGTAAAAATGCAAATTCTGCGTTTTTCCATGGCAAATGGATTTCTATGATCCCTGCCGATCACAGGGGGCTTTTCAACCTTGCTGACAAAGGCATAACAAGATCCAATGGCTGGAAATTGAAGTTAGACAAATTCAACCTCGAAATAAGACACAATTTCCTACCAATGAGGGAAATTAACTATTAGAACAGCTTACCAGGGGAGGTGGTGGGCTCATCATTAAGAAGACATAGGATATCTTTTTTAAAAAGATATGCTTTAATCTAGTTTCTGGGAGAAATTCTACAGCCTGTGTATGCAAGGGGGCAGGCTGGATGGTTGTGGTGGTTCATTCTGGCCTTGGAATCTGTGACTCTATGAACCATTGTGTCCATTCCCTTCTTTTATGGGCCATGGAGACAATGGGAAGTTCTCCATTGCCCTCAACATGCTCATAATATTTGCAACTCTGCAGTAAGACAATGACAATCTCATGCTTCAGGGGCTTCAGCCATTTGCCTGCAGGGATCAGGAAGAAATCTTTCTTTTCCCTAATGCACAATTGTCTAGATGTATTCTGAGGGTTTTTTCGCATCTTCTTCTGAAGCATCAGCAATTGGCCACAGCTGGATACAGGGTGGACCCGTGCTCTGAAGTGGTACAGAGAATCCTCTGTCTTGTGTTTTGCTCATGTGCTCAGGGTCAAACTGATCACAAGATTTGAGGGCAGGAAGGAATTCCCTCCCCACACACACACGCACACCCCGGCCCAGATTGGCAGAGATTTTGGTAAGGTGCGGGTTTGCCTTCTTCTGCAGCATGAAGCATGGATTGCCTGCTGGATCATCTGGTCATATCTCACCTAATCAGTTCCCTGCCATTGCAGGAGCTTCGGGCATCCGTGGCATCTTGGTCTCCTCTTCCTGCCTGTGGTGCACATTATTAGTATTATTATATGTATTACCATGGTACCTCAGATCCCCAGTCAGAGACAGGACCCTGTTAGGCTAGGTGCTGTATAAACATAGAGCAGAAAGATAGCCCCTGCTCCAAAGACCTTACAATCTAAGTATAAGACAAGAGACAACAGCGGGATATAGACAGATGGGGTAGTACAAAGAAACAGTGAGACAATATTGGTCAGCATGATCACCAGCA